ACCACCACCAACGTCACCGCCTTCTACCACTGCCACCACCTTCCACTACTATCACTGCCGCCGCCGCCTTCCACCTCTGCCATTACCATCATTGTCGCCACCGCCTTCCACCACCACTACAGTCACCTACAATGGCTTCCACCACCGCCACCTACATCACTATCTTCTTCCACCGCACTAATGCCACCGTCTTCCACCAACACCACGGTCACCACCACCACCACTGTCACCATTTATTTTTTAAAAATTATTATAGAATGTCATTTTGCTAATTTAATTATTTTGTACTAAGAGGGATATTTTGGAGAATTCAATTTGAAATTTATTCCATTCTAAATTTTAAATTAGTCCAACCAAACACCAGAATGATTATTATCATTTCATTATACACTTTTTATATTTACAACCAAATAATAGAATAAGAATGGTCATTTCATTCCATTTCAACACACCAAACACAGCATAATAATTTAATGTTATCATTTATTTTAGGGTTAATTACAATGACACCCCCTGAGCTTTGTCTTAATGACAGTCATATACAAATTAGCCTCTTTTTGAACAATGACACCCCCTGAAGTTTGATAAAGTTAACAAAGACACCCCTCCTACCTTTGACAAAAGCTAAAATGACGTTGTTACCCTTTAACTTTTCAATTGCATCATTTTTTAATTATTTTAATTTAAATTTAAAAAAAAAAAAAAAAAAAACTATACCCATTTTAAGAACAAAAATACCCTCCACCCACCAGCACTGCCTTCTACCTCATCCACCGGCCACCTCCATTACCAAATGTATGTTAATATATATATGTGTATATAAATATATATAGAGGATGGTAAATATGGATTTTTTGATTTATAATATACATATAAATCTTCACCCTTATTCTGTTCTTCTCTCTTTCTAAAGCAAAATCTGACTTATTGGCATAAATCAATACATATCGCACACTGGATTTATGTACTTTCCTAATGCTGATGAGCCGGCTTCAAAATGACAGACTAAGCCCAAGCGTGGTTGGTTTTGAACAAATCAGCTGATAATTTTCTTTGGCAGGACTAGAGAAACATGCACTAAGCAAGTGTACAACAACACTAACAATTTTAGCTACAGCATCTAGTGAAGGCCATACAGATTACAAGCAAGCGGATCATAGCAATAAATCTAAGTCGAACAATAAGATTTATGTCTATGACTATGAGATCTACTCCTTTTTTTGGAGTCTCAATGTCACGCCCCAAAATCCTAAATACATGAACTCTTGTCTCGTATTAAGATTTGGCATGACTTTTTTTACACAACCACAACCTTACAATAAAAATAATTAAATAAAGAAGTAGATGTAAACAACCCTCTAATTTATTAAATCGATACAACCATAATATCAAACAACCTTGTCAAAAATAATCCATGATAATTGAACAAAATGAACTAACTCTCAAAAAAAATATCGTCATTCTTATTACAATGCGAAAATTGAACTAAACCAAAGAATACGACAAACAAGCCAAAATCCATCACCATCATGTAATCTCATCACGTTCTAACTCAACGTGTACCTGAAATGTGATAATGAGGTGAGCTCACAAGCTCAGCAATAAATGCTAAACACAATCATCGTTCAGCAAATTAACCTTACCTTGTATTCCTGTATATATAAGCAACTCAAATAAGTTCATTATTCAAATGTGTATAACCCAGTTAATTATAAACTTAATAAATAACCATCTTTTATTTTTAATAAATCGGCATATCTCACATGAGCCCCGGGCTCCCGTCCAATAAAATGGTGTGAATCGTATAGTCCCTGACTACCAAAAACACACGTGTGGCTGGATCGTACGTCTACTCCCCAGATGATCCCTGATCACGTCCACACAATAAGGGCTCATTAGACCCATGGCCATAACAAAAGGGTAGTGCACTCCTAAATAGGTAGGTCCCTGACCATACCCAAAAGTCATCATAGGACCAGTCCCTGACTACCCCTCCGACTAATCCAAACTCATCCATTAATTAATAATTATAGTGAATTATGAAAGGTATTATTAATTAATAATTCAGATTAATAATTAGTACACCCAAATACCATTTCAAATAAAAAAACAGAACCTTAAAAACCCAACTAGTTAGAGTACAAAATTCCTAGACATAGCCTAACATTAGATATAATACCCCGCAAAAATTTAGAATCTAACTCTTAATAATTTTTTTGTACTCTCCCTTTTGGTGCTGAAAAATAGTACTTTTTCATGTTTAAATTTCGTAAAACTAACAAATAGTCAATTAAAAATCTAGATTTCAGCACAAATAAGATCATTATACCTAAAACTAATATTCTGGAATTTAACACAATTTTTGAAATAACAGTACTATTTTCCATAATTTTCTAATGTGAAACTAATTAAAAAAATAATAATAATAGTTAAATGCATTATTTCAATTCAATACAACAACACACTGTTCCACACCCACTGTCGCCGAGAATGGTTGAATCATAAAAGACACCAAAGTGGGTCTTCTTGCCCACAATCATATCTGTATCATTTTTCTCAACTATCTAGTCTGTTTTAGTTGATTCCCAACATTCACTATATATTATAGTGTCATAGGACTTTGTTTTGAAATATTACAGTGAATCTAAAACTTAAACTATACATTAATTTATGTATAAAATATATATATTCTAACAGCCTCTAATTCTCATTCAAAAAAGAAATATAATCACACCAAATCAGATTCTTATATATTCATTTATATATATATACATACATATACATATATATATATATATATAATATATTATACAATATATACTCATATAAGAAATCAGTTTCACCAACTAGTGTATTCAATTAGACCTTATATATATATATATATATATATATATATATATATATATATATATCCGTACACATGCATTATTTCCACCAAGATGATTTCACATTCAATCATACACAAATAACTAATAGGTAACGATAACTTTAATATTATAAATGTTTAATTCCATACAATTTATTATTCATAATGCTGCCATCCTAAACTAACATGACCTTGATATACTGTAACCCATTAACACATGCTATAATGATTTATAAGTAATACACATAGATCAAGCCACAAATATATATAAGTGTACAAAGCAAGATTAACTTGCCTGGGATAATAACTAATTCTTCCTTCCTACGCGAATTCCAGATTATCGTTCCTTCCCTCGGCTACTGTAGAAAGACACGACGTCAGATCACTCTCTCTAGGTCTCCGTCCTATCACGCTGTATCGTGCTAATATTATTATTATTTTTTTAAAATAAATCCTCGTAGAACTGATACAACGTGAAAATATAAAGGATAAATATAACTGCATTTGAGATAACCTAGGACTTTTATTTAAAGTTTTAAATTTTAAAAGAAAAACTCTATTATCTCTACTATCACATTAAAATACTAAATACTAAATAATAAAAATAATGTACGAAATTTTAGGGTTTTACATTTATTGTGATGACCTTGCGGGCGGGTGTGCCGTGGGCGGGTGCGAGAGGCACTGTCAGGCTACCACACTGGCGAGCTACGGGTGCACAGTCCCACATCGCCTGGGTAGAGGAAAGGTGAAATGCTTATATGTAAGTGCATCATCTCCAATTGGTATGAGGCCTTTTGGGGTGAAGCCCAAGAGCAAAACCGTGCGGGCTCAGGCCCAAAGCGAACAATATCATACCATGTGATGGAGTGGGTCATTACACTCAAAACCATGGGTCGATGAAGGTCCAACTTGCTGGTATAACCAGTACAAAATCGCCAAGGGGTGCACAATGTATTCCACATCAGTGGCAAAAACAACCAATTTTCGAGTTGGCAGTGATGCTAATGAAACCATGCATCAATCGCACTAGTTGTTACTGGGCCTACGCCATCCCAACACCAGTGATGCCGACAGATACCCGTACAATTACCTAGCGTTGACCACCACCATCTAGCGCGAAGAAAGGCATAAATCAATACATATCGCACACTGGAATCAAAATCAGACTTATTGGCATATATCTTTGCCGGCCACCACACTTCCTCACCACCGCAGGTTGCAGATTCGCACCGCTATCGCAGATCATCGCCGCCGCTTCAGATTCAGCCATTTTTACAACAAAATCACCACCATCGGCACCCCCATTGAAAACCCACGGCGGCGAAACTAATGACAACGACCACTTTCTCCTTGCCAAAATTGTCGAAATGGGCTTATAGGTGCGAAAATTGAAGAGGGTAGAGAGAAATCTCACCATGAAATCCTTCATCTTTGGCTTCTCAAACTTCTTCCCAAGCTTCTCCACCACCATGTTGATCACTGTCACGCTCGACAACGCCGTTAAAATCAACAATCTCTCCCCTTTTCAATTGATCTTAATGCTCCAATATGTGGGTTTGGGGCTGAAGGACATCAAGCTAGTTCCGTCGATCTTATTGTTGTTGATGATCTTGACGGCAACGTTGTGGTAGATGGTGGTGTCCCAAGCATGGTAGACCTTGGTAAAAGCGTCATAACCGTACTTTTGAACATATTCTTCACACCCAGTTCCATCTTCATCACCTAATCATCCCTCCGACTGGGCTCACCACTGTCCACTTCGCCGCCGCCACCAACAACTAAGATGCCGCCACCAACATCTAAGATGAGAGCTTAGAGAGAAATGGTGGGTACTGGGTGGTATACATCAAGGGCAATTCTGTCATTTACGTCTTTAGATATTTTACCTTAAAAAATTAATTAAATGTTGAAGGGCAATCTTGTCTTTTAGGATTTTTTTAGGGACTGTTTGGCTGAAATTTTTGGCAGGGAGTGTCATTGTTCAAAAAATGCCTAACTTGTATAGGGCTGTTATTAAAGCAAAGCAAACATCAGGGTGTCTTTATCCAAACAAAGCCTTAGGGCAGCCATGTAAAAAATGCTTAAAAAAAATCCCTTCAGACCGCGTATGCGTTTGTCTGCGGCAAAGTAATCCTTTAAAAGGCATCACGTTCAGGGGTAGTTATGTAAATTTACGCACACTCACTGAGCACGCACATACATTCGCGAAGCTTTTCTCTGTCTACCATTTCAACAAGCCCTCACTGAACAGTAGCTAGCTGAATACACTTTTCTCTCTCCGTCTCTATCTCATCGGAATACACCTCGCCTCCTCTCGTTCTCTCTCTCACTGGAGTTCATGGAAGTTGACCTAGCAGCAGATTGGGCAAATAGTCTTCGCCGCAAATGGAGATGGATTGGAGATGTATTCTGCTACTGATTATTGAATAGATCTCAGATTCTAGTTCCGAAGGTACAATCTTCATATTCGTTTTCATTCTTGATATGTTAGTCTTCTCTTTCTAGGAACTCATATTAATATTTTTTCTTTTTTTTTTTGTTCAATTTTTTGTATCCTTCTCTTCCGATATCACAATTTGATTTGAAATTTTTTGTTTAAATTTTTGGTATTCTCTGCTTATCTTCCGATATCACAATCTGATTCAATTTGTTTTTAATTGTTGAACATTGGTCAACAATTTTCTGATATATTGTGCGTGTATACTTATATGTGTGTGTGTGTGTGTGTGTACTTGCTTCATCTACAGGTTATAGTGTTTGATTGCTGAATAGTTTCTTTATAGTCTTTATCTTCCTAATTTAAATGATTGGTTGTTTATAACACCAGTATATGTTTTCTGGTTACACTTAGAGTTTGATGTTTTAGGGAAATTTCTCTTATTATTTATTCCAATCATTTTTTAATAACTTCAGATTAAAAATAACATTAGAAATCGCGACAGGGTCCTTTTGATTTTTGTCCATACAATTGACCATATGAATAATATGGTGTACTTACCATTTTTGTATAATGAAGCATAGGAAAAGTTTTGCCATCATTGGTCCATATAATGGGTGAGGAAAATGAAAACAAGATAAACTTTTGCAATTTTTTTTTGTCATCAAAGTATCAATTTTCTAAAATACTTCTACAGTGTAATTTAATATAAAATATAAAGATTAATAAAATGTGTTGAAAATATTTGCACTCTCACTGGAATGGTATATTCATTTACAGTATTTCCTTCATTAGTCCTTAGTAGTTGTTAAAACCATGAGTATCACACTGACTTGGTGATGACATTTATTAAGACAGATCAAAGTTTTGTGGCTATACAATAAACTAAAGAAATCATACATACACATACATTATATATATATATTATTATCCGTGTGTATAAATTGTTGACATAAGTTGATGTAGAAATCCAAAGACCTTTTGTGTTCGGAACAAAAAAATGCAGAGAGATGAGCTATATAGCTACTTAGAAAAGACACTATCGTTTGGTGTATGCCATGCTTTTTTTTCGTTGTCCATATAATCTTTATTATTATTTTATCATAACCATCTTTTTTTTTCTTCTTTAAATACCCTAATTATTTGACTAATATTATGAACACATTACAAAAGTCACCATACCAACAATCTTCAGTTGAATGCATAAGTTAGTTCTTATTATTGGACACGAAATGGATAGCAACACTACTACATCTTTAATCTACACTGTAATATCCAAGTATAGCAACAGGGTACTACTATCTCAGCTTTGAATAAAGGGCACAAGCTGGTTTTGATAACTTTAAATAAAAATAAGGCAAAATTCAACCAAATAATAAAGTTCAGAGCAAGAGAATGGAAATTTTGGCTATGTTGGTAATTAATTTAGTTCTGTAGTGGGACTGGGTAATTGAATACGCTGACATTTGAGTTGGGCCTAAATTTAAAATAAAGATAGAAGTTCAGATGTGTTCGAATTCAGGCCAAACTAATGGAGAATTGTCTTTCATAGGCAGAGAAGGAACAAGAAGAATGGACGGGACCTTTGTTCATGGACTGATGGAACTCATAGTTTATGGACTAATATACTGAAATATTGTCTTTCTAACCTCTTGTGCTACTTTTTTCATTGTTGTCCTCTCTTGTGCACTATTTTAAGGCATTCAAATGCACGTTTGGCTAATGCCATTCATTGCATCAAGTGACTTTCCAACATGTTTCCCACTCCGATATACTTTTCAGCAGCCTCCACAACATTAATTATGACTACATAATCTTTCTGCTTTTTCATTAAACTTGTTCATGCATCATTTACCTTCTCTGCCCTTTCTTTTTCTTTTTTTCTGCATTATGATTATTATTTTCTTCTTCTGTCACTTTGTTTATGAGATTTACCAACTCTTCATTACATGGCAGTGGTTAAGTTTCATATATATTGACTTTTATGAGATGCCTTAAATTTGGTTTTGTTGGTCATGCACTAAAAAGACAAAGAAGCGTACTATGGGGCATGTGCAGTCTAAGCTGTTAGATTACGACGATTGTGTAGCTCAGCTTGCAGCTCCGAAAGGAAAGTAAAAATGACACTGCACTTTTAGAAGCTAGAAAAGCATTTTTTTTCATTCATATTTTTCATTCTTTACATGATTTCATCCACTGTATTCCATAAGTACTAAGCATCATGCACAGAAAACAACAGTAGCTTCGTATACATTTGGCTTCCTGATCACTTGCTTGTAAAATCGACTCCTGTTAACCTGCACTACAGAACAATACAAATTCAAAATGTAGGAATGTAAAATCAGTTCTTCTCTTTTGTTTCATTTATGAGAAGTTTTGTGTTGCTTTGTTGATACCGTAGTATAGCACAGTGGCAAAGTAACATATACAATTGCCTTCTCAGCAGGCTCCAAGATACACTCTATAGTGATTAGCAGCTTCCAATAGTGTAGATTTGGGGAAAATAGAGTGTTGGAGCCAATCCCTTTATGTTGGACTCTCATCAACCTTTCGAAAAGACTTCTTTTCAACATTGTAATAGTAGAGCCCCATGCCAAACCATATCAAAAGCTCTCCTCCTACCTCTGCCAACAGACAGCTTTTGATTTCCAAATCCCCCCTCTGGCTCCTCATGAGAGTAGAATAGCTAACCACGTAGTGCTTCTCCCAGATCTCCATCCTGTGGTCCTTCAGCTTCCATATTTCTGTAATATTATTTCCTGAGGAACTATCAACCAAGGACAAAGATCCTCCTAGCTCATGCAAAGAGAGATATTCAATGACCGTATCCAAAAGCGGTATATCCATATCCATATAATGTTGAGGATAATCAATGAGGCAGAAAGTATCCTTCTTCTCCAAAACCAAAGAAATTGTACCTGTGTTTGCAATTCGAGTTTGTCGCTGTAGGCCGAGTCAGCCAACATTCCTTAAATCTATAGAAAGTAGCCTTCGACTGTTGGAGCTCTAAACCAGAACATAATACCCTCCACACATATGGGTGTCTTAGTTTTGTCCCATTTCCAAGACCAACCCCAACAAGGAGGGGAAGGCAGCGTTGCAACTCTCCATTCAGCCAAAATTCCCCCACCCTCAGATATGGAAAACCACTCACAGATGTTGTTTTTGTTGCGGTCCTCAAAGAAATGCACCAGCATGTATTCGTTACTTGATGGGATGAAACCCAACCCAATGTCACCACCAAATTGCCTGAAGGTTGACCAACCATTGGTGGTATACACCTTGTAATTTCTTACAAAAGTCTTGTCTGTTTCGTGTCTACTCATCTTCTATATGTCGCCAATCCCTTAACTTACGAGTTCTTGTCTGTTTCGTGTCTACTCATCTTCTATATGTCGCCAATCCCCTAACTCACGAGTTCTTGAGGGTAGACACGAAACAGACAAGAACTCGTAAGTTAAGGGATTGGCGACATATAGAAGATGAGTAGACACGAAACAGACAAGACTTTTGTAAGAAATTACAAGGTGTATACCACCAATGGTTGGTCAACCTTCAGGCAATTTGGTGGTGACATTGGGTTGGGTTTCATCCCATCAAGTACCGAATACATGCTGGTGCATTTCTTCGAGGACCGCAACAAAAACAACATCTGTGAGTGGTTTTCCGTATTTGAGGGTGGGGGAGTTTTGGCTGAATGGAGAGTTGCAACGCTGCCTCCCCCTCCTTCTTGGGGTCGCTCTTGGAAATAGGACAAACCTAAGACACCCATATGTGTGGAGCGTATTATGTTCTGGTTCATCAGGAGCTCCTACAGTCGAAGGCTACTTTCTATAGATTTAAGGAATGTTGGAGACCCTCAAGAACTCGTGAGTTAGGGGATTGGCGACATATAGAAGATGAGTAGACACGAAACAGACAAGACGATTTGAAAACTGATAGATCACATGACCCTCAAGGTCGACAGAGGTGAGTTGAAGAATATTAATGTCAGACAGTTTTGGCATCTCTTGTCCTCTTTCTTCTCTCAGAAAAATAAAGCAATAATGGAGAGAAGACCGTTCGCCAACGGTATTCTTTTGTTTTTGAAATTCAAATCTGTGGCTGCTGACACGCGCATATATATAGGCACTGATATATAGAGTTTTTGCAAAAGTGTAAAAACTTATTTATATCTAGGGTCAAGTGCAAAAAACACCCCAATTATGCTTATAGTGCATGTCGCATCCCTCCCGTGCAAAAAACGCCCCTTAAGTTTCAATTTGGTGCAATCAAGTCCCTCTGGCACGTTTAAAACCAAACTTGACTAAAATACCCTTAGTCAACAATTTTATAAAATATATAAAAATACAAAATTTTGTAAAAAGACTAAAAAGGACAATAAGCAATGACTCGTCTGGGTTATGGAGAGCTCGGTCGGTGGAATCGAACAGGGGACTTGCAAGTTGCAACTTGTAATTTGGAACAGGGGACTTGCAAGTTGCAACTTGTAATTTGGAACAGGGGACTTGCAAGTTGCAATTTGGAATCGAACTCGTCTGGGTTTTGCAATTGGGTTTGTTGGGGTCAAGCTCTCCTTAAAAAAATATTCATGGGGTTTTGATTGTGAAGACTAGCTCGGCTGTGGAGAGCTCGACCAGTGGAATCGGCGACCGGTGAGCAAGGGAGGGCTAGGCAATGCAGCGGCGGTAACGGCAGACTGACTGTGGAGAGCGGTGGGCAACGGCTGTGGAGAGCTTAGACTACGTTTTACAGAGAGTAGAGAGAGAATGATGGGTATATTCGGAAGGCACCGACGGGCAAGGAGAAGCTCGGCTATGAGCGACGGCGGGCTCGACTTCAATGATGGAGGCGGCGGCGAGCTCGACTTTGATGGAGCGACAGTGGAGAGGACGGACGGTGGTGAGAATAGGGAGAGAAGGATGGGTATTTTCCAACCCTCATTCACAGACCCGTTTAGCACATTCTTAGACCCAGCCGCTTTGTATTTTCCAACCCTCATTCCCAATCTTGGCATCGCAACCACCGTGTGTGTGTGTGTATATATATATATATATATATATATATATATATATGAATGGATGGATGAGCAACAGTGGGCAGCCCGACGGTGGCTGGGTTCGACTGTAGAGATGGCGGCATAGGCCGACGAGCAAGGGGGTTGGTGCAGAGGGAATGATGGTCTGTCCAGTGAGCACAGTTGCAAGGCGGAAACTCATTTTTTTTCTTTGTGCCTTTTTTTTTTTTTTTTCGGTTTCCTCAGTGTATTAATGTAATGGATTTGAAGAATATATATATATATATATATATATATATATATATATATATACGTGTGTGTGTGTGTGTGTGTGTGTGTGTGTGTGTGTGGTGGTGGTGATGATGATGATGGAAACAAAGTAAGGAAACCAACAAAAAACAAAGTGATGGAAACAATCAATTTCTCAAGCTTTAATTGCTCACACTGATTCATAATTGCAAGTTTATTGTAATTTTAGAGTTTCAAACTGAAAATTGCACGTTGGTGGCTAAGGAGAAGGGTTGGGGATATTGTTTGTTGTTTGAGTTCTGGGTTTGAGATAATTTTGAGTTCATAGACCCGTTGTAGAAGGCGAAGAGAGTGGATCATGATTCCCTTTCACAGACCCATTAAACCTGTGTTCGCAATCTTGGCATCGAGATTCGGCCATTGCCACCTCCAATCCACAACCCACAAGCCATAGATACCGCTGGTGGTACCCTGATTCGCAACCGCCGTGTATATATATGTGCGTGTGTGTGTGAATGGATGAGATTGATCTGTGTGTATATATATATATAGATAGATATATACGTGTGTGTATATATATATGGATGAGATTGATGGTTGGAGCTGAGGGGTGAATTATGGTGTGAGGAGGAAGAGGAGGCTGTACCATCAGGCGGTGGTTGAAGAAGAAGAAGAAGACAGTGGTGGGAGGAAGAACTGGCAGCAGATAGTAGAGAGAGAAGGATGGGTATTTTTAGAAGACTAAAAAGTGCTACTGAGAGTATTCTTGAAGGGTGTTTTATGCACTTATCCCTTATATCTATCTATCTACTCATATATCTAAATAATAAAAAGAAGATGTGAGATTAAATGTTATAGAAATGAAATTAATTTCAAGGCAACATTGTACATGGAGTCGAGTCGTTACAAATTTCGTATTAACCGAATCAAAGAAGATGAGTTTGGGTGCTTCGCAATTCAACTCAAAAGTTTAAGTTATTAAGTGGAGTTAACATTCGATCCATATATACCCATTTACTTTTTCATTCGGATACGATATGAAACACTTGTAACGTACTAATAGCACTCATTATTCAACTTTAATTAATAAATAAATAAATTTCAAATAAGCACCTTTTATTCAAAATTTCATTAAAATTAATGATTGATACATTTCCAAAAGGATGCATCCTAATATAGTTTTATAATTCCTTCTCGTATATAAATTGTTTGGTAAAAAGATTTATGTTGTATTTTTCATTGACATGAATCATAATAAAAATTGTATAGTTATTCAAGACTTTTTCGTATTTTCATCCAACATTACAAGTTATTTAATGAGAACCGAAATTTATAGATTAATATGGACTCAAATGTCTTCTCGCTCACCAAAAAAAAAAGAAAAAATAAAATATTGAATCTGTATAATCGTTTAAGAGTCTTGTTAAAAATCACTTTGAAGTATTTGAGTTGAGATGAAGTAATTCAATCATGAAAAACTTCAAATGAGATGGGAATTCTATTTTTAAACAATTTTAATTGTGAGTGATATATATATATATGACACAAAATAAAATAATTCATGAAATG